ATAATATTGTAAGTAGTATTATATTGACACCCACCTAAGCTGCCAGGAGAGAAATTGTTATGTTATCACGCTATGTCATGCAAAATCCTATTGGCCATCAATAAAATACATATTTTACTACCAGTAAAAGTAGTTTTGATTTTGTAACTTCGGTGAAAACAAACCTAAATAGCAGTTATTCACAGACTGGCGGATGTTCCCGACAGGTGTGCCGCCATTTTGAAAATCGTAAAGTCTGTTAGAATTAATGAGATTATAGTTTGTTTTCATCAAGTTAGAAAATCAAAACTACTTTCTACTCAATAGTTAAATATGTATTGGAATCATAACCAAAAGGATTTTGCATGACACAACTTATAACATAACGATTTCTTCCACGGAAGCGAGGTGGGGTCGAAGTCACAATACTGCGTGATAAATTTCTTGCTACATTCACATGGTTAATGTCCACTCACCAGTATGTAGATACTAGTCAATGTGCGCGTCTTTATATTTGGTCTTATAATCCTAATTAGTTTATTATCATACTTTTATGCATTTTGAAACTAAATAAAAAGCTGACGATCTGCTGATACTTATAGTGAATTTATAACAGAACTGTAATATCTAGACATTTTATAGTTTGCCAATGTGAATCATAATTCGCACACACACACCCTAGTGTATGTTGTCTGTCTCATTACACTTCACGGTGAAAACAATGATTCTGTTCAATGCTACGACAAATGAATAAAAAACAAAATGCAAATATTAAAATTAAAACAGATTAAAGTTATAGGAACAATATCAGGCCATTACCTTGTTTGAGGAATGTATCCATCAATATCCACAAAACTGTTCCAAATGATGTGTCTTTTAACAGTTTAATATACGAAAAAGTGATAAATCTTTTCAGGTATTGGTGTATAGTCTCATTGGTCATCCAAGATAGCACACCTGGCAACTAATTGCATAATGTCCGCCTTTCATTAAAAACAGTAATTTAGTTAGCCAATAATGGGCAATCAATCAATGTATTGCCGGTTAATCCTTTGAAAGAAGGACATTGTTTTTCACGCGAACACCGACACGGCAGAGTGTATTCAGTATAGATTAGTAAATCTACATACATAAACACTACCTTTGACAATTCCGCTGTGTGTAAGATAAAAGTAATTAATCAATCAGCGTGTTATCGGTTAATCCTTTGATCGATGTTTATAATGTTGAATATTTACTCCAGACACAAGAAATGCCAAATGGGAACCTTTGTCGGGTAATCTAAGTGTGTTACCACTAATTATACCTGTTATAAATTCATTAACTGACCATCAAGTGAATGATGACAAATAACATGTGTAGGTTTGTATACCACCTAACACGGGTTACAACAAGGGAGTATTAATTGCATGTGAAATCTTATGGGCCGACCCTGTTTTGAGAATACAAACAGATTTTTACATGACATGATTAAATATCGAGGTAAAAAAACACAGAAATGGGATCAATTTGGATCAGTCATTATACAAATAGGGCCTAACGACACCAATCAATTGTGACAGAAGCGTCTATGAAAACAACTCGGAAACTAAGCAAAGCAGGAGACAAAATTAAATGCCAGTAGATTGTGAGAACATATAGCTTTCATTTTCCACAACAATTGTCACGATTTCAGGTTTATACAAGCCTGTAAACAAGATAATTTACCCCCTAAAATGTAGATGAATTCTGCATCGGCCCTCAAAGCTATTCCTCATATGACGTCACAGAGTCGCGCCGCTCTGATTGGTTGAAATTTCGTTCGCGGGTGAGAATTGTGCACTGTTGTCAAAAAGGTCGATTTAAGTCAATTAAAGGTCGAAATGAGTAGTTTTAATGACGGGGTTTCATTTATAACGATGCCAGTTAGTGATTTATGTATTTTTACCCCCTAGGGTTTATGTGACCTTTAAGTATTGTACCTTCAGTGACATTGCCAACACAGTCCACTAACTGTATATGGAGGACAACAAATCTGCAAATCTTAAACTTCGCCGATATTTTGTAAACATTTTGACAAATTTCTCTTCTGCCTAATAACAGCCCTGGGTAGAATATGGTATAAACAACATTTTCAAAGAAGATACGCTGAGATTACCGACATTTCTGGAATTTCTGGGCCATGGGAGGTATACTTTGGTATTTTCCAATGAAATAAATCTGTATAGACCATGTAGACAACTTTCAGAAAAAAAATAAAAGATTACACCGGGTTTAATTGTTTGTATAATGATTTTCATTAATCCAAACAAAAATGAAAGTTCATAAAACCATGCATGAGAAATACATGTACACATAAAACTTCTTGTAGATCATAAAATATCATGGCATAATTTTGATTATAAAACAGATTAGTGATAAAACTGAACAATTACCACACAATAAAGAGATGACCTCCACCAGATTATGAAGGTTTTAAGGTGACCCTCATAAAATAATGCCTCAATTTAATGACACTTTTTACAATTATTACAGTTTACAAATAAAACCAGCCTGAGACAAACAAACACCACAACCAAAAACTAAATTCAAATGGATTAAATCTACTTTATTTTCCCTCTGTCCTATCGTTGATGGATTAGAGAAGAAATAAAAATGATACACACAGTGTCAAATACAAATTATTACATTTTCAAATACATGAACACAACTACATGTTACATTATGTGACAATATGTAACATCATCCACTGAATAGAACAAAAATATCGATAAAAAACTACCATGTATTTGGTAAAGAATTATTTCAAGTTGTAACATAAGAGTCTAGACATACCTCATTTAGTAATTAAGAAATGAAACAAAATTACAAACGTTTCTGGATGTGCTTAGTCAAATAAAAAATATTTTTTAGTCTTCCATCCTTTCTGACTAGGAGTCATTTAGCAGTCACGTCAGAAAGATCAAAACTGGGACATGTTACAGACAGACTCTCTGTACATACGTAACATTACCATACTTAACCAGTCTAAATTTACTGAACACTGAAATATACTATTCACACTTTGCTAAGGATCAAATCATGGATTCAATAGAAAACTATTATGCAGGGTCAAATTTGGTTTAAATATCTAAGCTTATTGTAAGCATGGATCCTAGGTTTCAGTTTGTCATTGCATCTTGTGGATCCCATACCTCCCATTGACATGTATTGTTTATTTGTCAATGACTCGTTCCATGATTTGCAAAATGGCTGACTGGTGCCATGAAAACCATTTTTATGGTTACTCATGTATCAAGTGCATACGGTTAGATTAAAGTGGCCGTTTGCCTAAAGAGGTGTTACCATATTATTATTAATCCAGTTCTAAATGGATACAATTTCAAATTATAAATCTACGTTTAAGTAAAGTTGTGAATTTTGTGATCCTTAGCAAAGTGTGAGTAGTATAGACTGAAAATATGAGCGTTGCATTAAAGCTTGAACTGAGAGATTTCCCATATATCGATCAATCAACCCTTCCACCTACAAACACACATACACATTCACACACGCTACTCTGAAAACAAACCTTCTGTACAATGTTTCCAAGTATTCTACAATAAGCCCAGGTTATTTTCCCTTGTTAAATATACAGGTTCATTTCTTTGATACTTAGAACTTTCCCTTTCCATACTTATACACAGGGGTGGAAATAACCCATTGCCCGTCGGGCAAGCAAATTTGTATATCACACTGTACCGGTGTCCAGTTGACTTTCCAATGTTTATTATGTTGTTTATTTAAAAAATCAGCAAGAAAACAGTTGGTATAGTGGCAAAATAATCAGGGCAAGTGACTTTACATGTGCCACTGTACCAGAGTACACTATCAATTTTAAACTTATTTCCACCCCTGATACATTTCTGCTTGCTCTTATTCAAATATCCCATTCAATTTGGACTTTTTACCTGAATAGAGCACAAGACGTGCATGAGGTAGACTACAAACCACTGATAACACAGGTGTACAATGTCACTGATACAGTTTCAGTGAGTGAGTGAGTGAATGGGGTTACACTGCCATACTAGTGCTGAGGCAGTTCATGGCGCCTGTTACATATGCCAGTGTAACATTGCTTAGCTTAAGTGATACAATCACTTTGCTAGCAGGGTTCATGAAATGCAAACATCATACTACCATACAGATTGCAGTTCTTGTGTCATCAATGGTAAATAATGTAATTCTCAGTCTGTACTGTTTTTCGGTATAAAATTCCCAAGCTGACAAACAGTTCTTGCAGTCGATTGGTATCCACTTAATTCTCACAACTGATTAATATAGGTTCATTCTAATAGCAGCAATTTGTACTGTACCAATTTACAAGTCAAGCAGTTATCAGACTAATTATTGTAAATATTACTTTCTAAAAGTTGATTCAGAATTGAAACATGAATCGATATAAGGGAAGACATCAATCAAAAATGATGTTTCATTTGTACAAAAAGGCCTGTTGCCAACAAGGGCTGAATACAGATTGATTTCCAAGTTAAGGCATATCGAACAGGCTTGTGAAAATTTGTGATGCCCACGTACATCAGTGAAGCATGACACATCTACTATACATACACATTTTCCACTACAGCGAACCAAGCAAGCATGTATATAGTGCAGGTGAACCGTTAGCCTCCACTGGGAGAAACTAGGATTATAATTTACAATGAGCGTTTCCGTGAATGGCTAATATTAGGAAGGTGGATAACTATTTGCAACAAATTGCAACACAGACACCTGTGAAACAGTGAAACCCTGTCTAGCTGTATTTGCTGATGTTCAGGGTGCCGTTGTACAAATGGATCCTAGCACTAAGGTGACTGAAACTCCCAAACTCCCATACCTTAGGGACCGTTCATAATTTACAGGTGGGGGTGGGGTGATGATGATTTTAAGGGGGGTCACCCATTTTGTTCGGAGGAGGTGTGTGTGTGTGGGGTAATCAATTTTGTACACGTTTCAAGGGGGTCAGCAATTTTGTACATAAAAATATTTAAAAATGTGCTTAAAAGATATTGGAAGGGGTTGGGGGGTCATTCATTTCTACATGACATGCAGTGGGGTCACTTACTTTGTACATAAATTTTAGGGGGGGGATTCACATTGTACATGCTTCTCCACAAAAATCATCATCACCCCCACACCCCCCGGCCATAAATTATGAACGGTCCCTTAACATAGACTTAAGTTAGTCAAGTTTGTTTTGTACAACGGCAACCATTACCATGATTTTGTCCCTGAAGTTCATTTTTGAGTTCCAGTTGATCAAGTTGGTTTCAAGGTCACAACTAATAAAGCAGGAAAGCTTTATTACTGGCCACAGACATAAACCTTCGAGCTAGGCTATAATACTGACAAGCTGAGGATCGTAATCAGGGAATATGGGAGTCATAACCATAACCAGAGGATCCAGATAGCTAAGGGATACAAGTTGTCCTGTGTAAGGGATGTAACTGTGAGGAAACTTGGCTTGCCTAAGGGATGCAACTCTGCAGATAAAGCCGTGCTGTCTAAGGGATGTAACTCTGCAGATAAAGCTGTCCTGTCTAAGGGATGCAACTCCACAGATAAAGCTGTGCTGTCTAAGGGATGTAACTCTGCAGATAAAGCTTTCCTGTCTAAGGGATGTAACTCTGTACTGCAAATTGTCATGCCTGAAGGAAGCAACTCTGCTAAGTATCTTTTCTAGCCAAAGGGACGAAACTCTGCACAGACAGTTGTCCTGTCTAAAGGATAAAACTCTACAGAGTTCTACAACAATGTAACCCCTTGAGTATGAGGCAGGATTGTTTGATTAATACATGAATGAAGATGAATATATATACTGTTTCTTCAAAACATGAAATATTAACCAAAATTCTACGTCAATTGGCACAAAATCAAAAACAATCACATCCCATTGCTTGACTTCACTCATGTTGTCATTTGCTATTTAGCATTTGAAAAGTTTGATAGTAACTGTGTAATGAGCATACACACTGACGTACAAAAATAGCAACGTGGTTATGTCCCTAACCATCAACAATCATATTGAGCTTATTGTTAATCATGAGGTCAGGTCATCATTTTTTAAACACAATAGTAAGTCACAGTTTTAAACAAAATATCCTCCAAAACCGTTACACTCTGGTGCTTGTGATCTTTCAGATGAAACTTCTCCAAGAATTAACATTATCCAAATATTATTATTGACATGAAGAAAGCTGAACCTGTCAGTTGCCTTACATGACATCAATATTTCAGATTCCGAGATGTTGTGGTGACTGTGATAGAGTGTATTGTAGAAGATTTTGCACATTGTATTTCTTTAAATTATTTTACAGCATACATAAACCTTCATTAAGTTTCAGGCCAATCATTTAGAGAGCTCAGAGAGGTCAAAAGTTCACAGACAGGGAAAAGAAAATGCCTTTGGCTCACCTTGACCTTTCGACCTGATGAGTAAAAAATACACAAAATACTTCTGCTTATCTAGAAGAAATCACCAGCAACACACCCTTCTCCAGTGCTGTGGTTCACAATGGAAGGAATGATGAAAGTCTCTCCAATGTTTTCTCTGTATCAACTAAACAGGAACATCTTTGTCGACTTGTTCTTGACTCTGGCTTCTGATTGGTTTACTTGAGCTCTGGATGGGTTCACTCTTGTCTTGGATGGGTTCACTCTGGCTTTGTAAGGGTTCACTCTGACTTGGAGTTTGTCTGTCCTTGCCATTTGGACTAGAGTTCTTGGTACTCGTCTTGCTTGTCTTGCCACAGCACGTGTCCCCAATACAGTTGTTGCCGGGATTGCACTCGATCACACAGCTGGGTTTGTTCATAATGCTGTGCCCGGACTGTAGTGTGACAGAGAGATGAGTGAGCCGGTGAGTTTCATTTGTTGATGAAAAAACAAAGAGCTGTGTGTACACTGTTGATGTGAGCGAGTTAGTGAGTTTAGTTTTAAGCCACACTCATCAATGTTCCAGCTTTATGGTGGCGCGCTCTGTAAATAATCAAGTCTGGACCAGACAATCCAGTGATCAACAGCATAAGCATCGATCTACGCAATTGGGATACGATGACATGTGTCAACCAAGTCAGCAAGCAGGACCACCCGATCCCGTTGGTCGCCTCTTACGACAAGCATGGGTTACTGAAGATCAATTCTAACCCGGATCTTCACGGGCTCCTTCTTGGAAGGTTATCAGTGCCCGAACATGTTTCTGGATTAGATTTCTGGATTAGATTGTGATCTAACACAAGGCCGTTTTGCAATAAGCATCAAGATATATTGTATAATCTCAAACTGCATGATTTGACGATCATATATAGATCAAAACAAGATAAACAGAACAAAACAACAGTTGTTGATGGAAGGTAGAAATGTGTGTGCATATAAGGGAAGTAACTGAGAATTCATTTCTTATCTCTGTGCACTATGGAATTACAGAAACATTTCGAAGGTGTTGGCAAGTGCATAACATTAAACGCAAGATAGAAATCACCCTTTGAAATAATTAAAACGTTATATTGTGATATGTATTGTGGAAAGAATGAACCTCTATAAACCGATATACCTATAGTATCACACACCCTTACTGGTCAGCCAATAAAATGCCACTCATTCACGTGCAATCTATTCATAACAAATACATTCTTACACAACCATCAGCAACACTGCTTCTCTATCAAGGATGTCTGTACTAATGCTCTCTTCTGGGACAGGCAAAGAGTAGGTAACAGTGGGAGCAATAAAGTAAATAAGTGAGTGAGTGAGTTTAGTTTTACGCTGCTTTTAGCAATATTCCAGCAATATCATGGCAGGGGACACCAGAAATGGGCTTCACACATTGTTTGAATGTGGGAAATCGATCCTGGGCTTATGGCCTGATGAGTGAAAGCTTTAACCACTAGGCTACCCCACCGTCCCTGAAATAAATAAGATCAATGAGAGAAATGGAAATATTCTAGCTGGCAATGATCTACTGAATTTCCATACACTCTTTGGCATATGTATGTGACTATTACCTCAATAAATTCCGGCTGGATGGTTGTGGAATGTATTCCTTCATCATGGAAGATTTCCTTCACCCGGCTGGCGAGATGCATGTAATCCTCTACATTGTGGCAGCTGACATGAGCTGTTGCCACGATGCGATTTCCAGCCAGCTGCCAAATATGGAACTCGTGGATTGCCACAACTCCAGGAAGCTGAAACAATGATGATAGGAATAAGCAGTCTGCATCCTATATCCTTCCAGTGAGTGAGTGAGTGAGTTTAGTTTTACGCCGCACTCAGCAATATTCCAGCTATATGGCTGCTGTTTGTAAATAATTGAGTCTGGACCAGACAATCCAGTGATCAACATCAAGAGCATCTGTCTATGCAATTACAATACAATGACCTGTGTCGACCAAGTCAGCGAGCCTGACCACCCGATCCTGTTAGTCGCCTCTTTCGACAAGCATGTGTTACTGAAGATCAATATTCTATCGCGGACCTTCACGGGGAAATACCCATGACTCTTCTGTAGAACAGATCTGGGTATGATACACCACCAGGAGAAGCCTGATACCGAAACATTAAGCAACAAAACATGTCAGAATGTGAAATATCCTGACTAAAAATTAAACACCAACAGCATCATCACTTGTGTTAGAAAGTGAAATAGATTTACAACTTTAAACATTTTGTACCTCTTCCTGGTGTAACTCACACTTCAGCAATACAATCAACACCATAAATTTACTTACTAAACTTTGACATGACAGGGGCGGATACAGCTTTTTGAGAAGGGGGGGGGAGGGGAAGACACACTCTTGAGAAAGGGATGGGAGGTGGGGTGCACACTTTATCTTCACTAGATTTTCAATGGTCATTTAATAAACTTTCAGGACAAAGGGGTGGTGGTCTGGATCCGCCTATGCATAAAGACACATTACTCTTGCTACATGTAATTTTGGAGTAAAATTGATATTTTATACTTATCCTGACTCATGCTCTTTTTGCTTGTCTTCTTCTTCTTTAATGAACATAGTGGAACACTTGTATCTCCCTAATTGAAGCTCCCTTCAATTTAAAATCACTAATTAGTATTCACCACGAGTTACCTCCTTTTCCACAAGCGCGGGAACGAGGGCGCCACCTCTACCCATGTGCCTCACTCTCTCCTCATATACTGAGCCCAACATTTGAATTTACAGGGAAATCCAAAGTGTTATTTGGGGAGGATGGGAGGGCTGACCTCATGAGTCAGGATAAGTATAAAATATCAATTTTACTCCAAAAATTACATATTTTTCCTTATCCTGACTCATGCTCTTTTTGCTTGTAGCATCCTACGGAACGGAGGTGGGAATATCTAATACTTTGGATTTTTAATAATTAGTGATTTGAACTGTGATGATTGTAATAACCCTATGGGAACTTCATAAAGGCACTGAACTGATGAATTCCTGCTGCTAACTTATCAGCTGCCATATAAAAGGTTATTACCATGTACTTATTATGATAAAGTATATATAACATTAATACAATGCTTAAGACTAATAGACTTAAGCTTGTTAATATGCTAGTATAAACTCCTTAGAGTTTGTTAGCTAAAATACTTTAAGATATAACATAGTACTAAGCTTAAGATATGATTAAACTTAAGCTAATTATATAATAGCAAACTCTTTAGAGTTTGTTAGTTAATATACTTATATGATATAGATATAATGCTGAGCTTAAGATATGAATAAGCTTTAGCTACATATATAATAGCAAAACTCTGTAGAGTTTGTTAGCTAATATATTTTTATAATATGAGTATAGTACTGTGCTTAAGCTATAATTAACTTAAGCTACATATATAATAGCCAAACTCTGTAGAGTTTGTTAGCTAATATATTTTTATAATATGAGTATAGTACTGTGCTTAAGCTATAATTAACTTAAGCTACATATATAATAGCCAAACTCTGTAGAGTTTGTTAGCTAATATATATTTATAATATTAGTATAGTACTGAGCTTAAGATATAATTAACTTAAGCTACATATATATAGCAAAACTCTGTAGGGTTTTGTTAGCTAATATATTTTTACAATATGAGTATAGTAGTGTGCTTAAGATATAATTAACTTAAGCTACATATATAATAGCAAAACTCCGTAGAGTTTGTTAGCTAATATATTTTACAATATGAGTATAGTAGTGTGCTTAAGATATAATGAACTTAAGCTACATATATAATAGCAAAACTCCGTAGAGTTTGTTAGCTAATATATTTTACAATATGAGTATAGTATTGTGCTTAAGATATTATTAACTTAAGCTACATATATAATAGCCAAAAAACTCTGTAGAGTTTATTAGCTAATATGTTTATAGTGTAACCATAGTACTAAGCTTAAGATAAGATTAGACTTAAGCTAAATGTATATAGCAAAATAAACTCCTTAGAGTTTATTAACTAATATACTTTTTATGTTAAAAACATAGTACTGAGCTTAAGTTATGATGAAACTTAAGCTATATATATATAATAACAAAACTCCGTCGAGTTTTGTTAGCTAATACCTTTATAATGTAAACATACTGCTTAAGATATGATGAAACTTAAGCTAATTGTATAATAGCGAAAACAACCCTTTAGAGTTTGTTAGCTATGATATAAACCTAGTATTGAGCTTATGAAGGAAAACTTAAGCTACATATATAATAGCAAGAACTCCGTAGAGTTTGTTAGCTAATACATGTTATAATGTAACCATAAAGCTTAAAATATGATGAAACTTAAGCGAAATATATAATAGCAAAACCCTCTTTTAGAGTTTTGATAGCTAATATACCTATATGATATAAACATAGTACTGCGCTTAAGATATGAATAAGCTTAAGTTACATATATAATAGCTAAAACTCTGTAGAGTTTGTTAGCTAATACATGTTATAATATAACCATATTGCTTAGAAATATGATGATACTTAAGCCAAATAGCAAAAAACTCTTTAGAGTTTGTTAGCTAATCTACTTATATGATATAAACATAGTACTAAGCTTAAGATATGAATAAGCTTAAGCTACCTATATAATAGCAAAACTCCTTAGAGTTTGTTAGCCAATATATTTTAATAATATGAGTATAGTACTATGCTTAAGGTATAATTAGCTTAAGTTACCTATATAATAGTAAAACTCCGTAGAGTTTGTTAGCTTAATTAACTTAAGCTATGTATAAAATAGCCAAAAACTCTGTAGAGTTTGTTAGCTAATGCATTTATCATGTAACCATAGTATTACTCTTAAGATATGAATAACTTAAGGTAAATATATATAATAACAAACTCTGTAGAGTTGTTAACTTATATATTGTATGATGTAATAATCATAGTACTGTGATGATAAAAGGAACTTAAGTAAATTATATATAGCATGAAGCTATTTAGTATTGTTATAAGATAAGTAAAAATCTGTTAGATTGACTTATCTTCTCCGAGGAACTGTCAGCTGTTGTGCGAGGACCATGGGATCGAATTGGTGTATACCTGAGACGTCCTCGGTGGTGATATCTCTCAGATAATGGTTTGCAACCACCATATCGGATTTCCAGAAATAAACCCTCCATTATTTCAATCACATTTGTGTAGAACAATTGTAGAAGTTAGCTATAATATCATGAGTATTAAGCTCATGGAGGGTCGGAATAGGTCCATCCGCATATGCACGTAGTATGACAGTTCTGATCCAAATGGAGATATAGTACATGAGACTTCACTCTGCGTAAGTTGATGATAGAGGAAATAATCTGTTGCATTTTTCCTCCTGTTTGGTTTGGTGGAGATAAATTTACAGTGCTCTTGCTGGCCATCTTGATAGAATCATCGTATCATGGGGTCCAAGTATGTCATCCAGGCGTGTTCATAAACCTCACTTGTGAGGTGTTGGAGCACTATATTCATATCCCCAGGTTGGGCGTGAAATTTCCGTTTTATTCTCCAAACAGAAGTTTAGTAGGTTTACTAACCATCTAGTTGTGTTAGTCGCTTGATGAAATTCAGCTGTAGTCTGAAACGCTGTGGATTTAGATCCACTTGTATCTTCGTCTAGGTAATTCGCTGCGAAGTCCTTGACGATGTAGGTGCACAACCAGGTGTGTCTGTCCTCGTTGAACTTTATGTAAAATCGCCTGACTGCCGATCCCTCGTCTTAACTTGACAGGGGAGGTCTCTAACTTGAAGAAAGGCAGTCTAATCATGAATGTTCAGGTTAACTGGACTGTAATGAGGCTTGCTCGTTCACTGATATATAGTTGTCACTTGTGACGTAAGTCTTGAACTGTGAATTGAGATCGACCTCTGTGTAGGTCGTTGTCCCTCGCGGTCCAATCAGAACAAGGCATTTTGATTCTGTATAATACCCGCGCTGTGATGTCACCGGTGTAGCGGGAAAAAACCCACCTTGAATAAATTCTTGTCGTCGTTGATATTAGCATAAACGTCGGTCTTCACCGTAGCTTCCCGAAGTTATCCGAGTGACCACGTGTTTCGAGGGTTAATGGTAATCGCTTGAAACCTCCGGCGCGCCAAATATCTCGCTCTGTAATTTTATGCTGGGTAGGTTATTTTCCTGGTTGTCGTGAAAGTAATTTCAGTTTTGAATATAATTCCGACTTCCTTATATATAAGGGTATAAACAACTTGCAAGTTGTGAGCTTGTAGACTGTATACATGAATGTATCGTCATAATTGTAGAATTAACGTTGAACTTGTTGTACATATTTCTTCTCAGAAACTTTGACGATTAAGAGTTATACTCGCTGTAACAAGGCTGCTGTTCAATTTCGATATTGAATTGTCTGCAGATATGCGTAATGGTCACGCATGTAGATAATCGTATCGTCGTCCGGGATTGTATATTAGCAATTTATACGGAATAGTTGATTTCTGTGAAGATCTATGAAATGTCGTTGACTAATAATACAGCGACGTTCTGTGTTGTAAATAGCCTGAGCAATTATCTTCACGTAGGCTTATAGACGGCATCTGGCATACAGTTGATAATCAACTTATGCGACGTCTTGAACGGACTGACGAGTAGCTATATATGACGAGTGGCTAGTATATGGAAACCTTGGAGGAGACTTCCTCGGTGAACGCCGGAGACTTCGCGAAGTTCTCGAAGTATCCCTTCTAGATCTTCTGGGTGAAGTAGACTTGGAGCCACTTAGCCTTCGCGACCATCGCGAAGGTGTCGAGTCAAAGCCCGATTAGTATATATATATATATATAAATATATATATGAGCGCTTGCTTCGTGAACAGCCTCTGTGTTTAACAGGATGTGGGATCGGGCGGCGCTTGCCTAAGTAGGGCCAGCATGGATCATCTTATCATATTCAGAAGTCGTGTTACGAAGTCTGGTGATAAGTGTCTAATTGATCGTTCTAGATCTATTTAGGCCAGCGAACATACGTCTCGTCATGGATTCAACAGAACCAATATACGATTGTAGTTCTTATACTTGATATCGATGATCAACTTGTCTATGGGTTGATCTTCTCGGAGACTTGTGAGGGGAACGTTGATAGTTTCGCAGCTCTTTGTATAGTCCCTCGATGTCCTTCTAGATGATGATGATCTGGATTCAGGTGTCCTTCGCGCATGCCTTCGCGAAGCTTCCTCTGCGTCCGGTCCGGGGGAACGACGATATGACCTTCGCGAAGGCTTCCGTGATGTCTGATGGTCCGAGTCCACATCTAGGGATGAAACCGCATAAGGTGATGATCTATCCTGCCTTCGCGAAGGCTGTACATCTAGGTTCTTTCCGCCTTCGCGAAGGCTGTACATCTAGGTCCTTTCCGCCTTCGCGAAGGCCTTCGCGAAGGCTGTACATCTAGGTCCTTCGTCAAGGTGGTCCGTGACTTCCTTCGCGAAGGTGACATCGTCCTGGCTGCTACGTTGACGGGGGGTGCCTCTGGGGTGCTGTCTACGTTGGAGCCTTCGCGAAGGCTCGGACCCTGCTACCGCAGATTATAGTGGTCCTCCATGATGTTCATAATTTGTCGCATCATGTCTTCTGGGATGGTCTGCGACGAGGTCGTCGGTGCTTTATCTGCGGTGTTAATGGAGGGGTCCACCGGAAAATCGTCCGACATCAGTGTAGAGGCATCAGGCTGCATGGTGATCTCTGCTGATGTCGTTGTAGCTGTCACCGGTCGTTTCTTGTGGCGTACGTCGGGGATGATGATCAGCTGATCATCGTAGAGGTCCAGGTCATCGGCTGGAACAATCTCGGTTGAGAAAGTCCTAGTAGACTTCGTTGATTTTCCCTCAGAGGTCGACGCTGCCCTGGGTGTGCGACGTCTGCGTTGAGTGTTGGTAATGATGGGACCCTCAGGACGATCATCGCATATCTGCGTTGGTACATCAGGCTGCATGCTGATCTGTGCCGACATCGGTCAATCTTTGATGTACATCCGGTATGATGACCGGCTGATCATCATACAGGCCCAAACTGCGATGGGAACGATCTCGGCTGTTGAGATGTAGTAGAAAAACCCTCTAGTCTTCTGCTGCGACGATGGGATGTCTGGGGAAGCAGGATGCTTCTTGGAGATGGCGGACTACGTCCCACACCTCTCCACCACTCTAGCGGAACACCACACGGGAGGGGAGTCGGCCAACAGCAGTAGACTGGCGAGGGGTTCCGGTGTATCAGTCATACTAGACTCTGCATACGCGACCTATCTGCTGTGCGTGCCAAAGCGCAAAAGTAAATATTAATAAAAGGTAGAATTGGATAAATTAGTACCGCAACTGCAATGTGAATATAATAAACATGGCGCCGTACATCATATTAAAGGCGGATCAGCAGCAGCATAAAAAACGTAATCTGCAATAGTACAGAATTTTCATCAACGTAATCCACTGAAACAAACACGGCGTCCCGTGAATAAACTGTAGAAAACGCGACTAAATATCAATATATAATCGTTGAAGGATACTAGCTAAACCTCTATAGATGTCTATACGAGGTAACTAACTAAATATAATTCAAAGGATATAGTGTGTCGGGAGACACAGGCGCTCTCACGTCCAGCTCACTGGGCGAAGAAGGAGAGAGTGAGGCACATGGGTAGAGGTGGCGCCCTCGTTCCCGCGCTTGTGGAAAGGAGGTAACTCGTGGTGAATACTAATTAGTGATTTTAAATTGAAGGGAGCTTCAATTAGGGAGATACAAGTGTTCCACTATGTTCGCAAGAAGAAGAAGACAAGCAAAAAGAGCATGAGTCAGGAGAAGGAAAAATAATAATCTTTCATTCTCTCTGACTAAAGAAAAAATTGCACTAACATTATTTTCACTCTGTGCTGATCATACTTACAGTGAGTGGGTGAGTTTAGTTTTACGCCGCACTCAGAAATATTCCATCTAATATGGCGGCGGTCTATAAATAAATAATTCTGAACCAGACAATTAAGTGATCAACAACATGAGCATCGATCTACGATGACATGTGTCAACCAAGACAGCAAGCCTGACCACCCGATCCCGTTAGTCGCCTCTTGTGACAAGCATGGGTTACTGAAGACCAATTCTAGCCCGGACCTTCACGTGTCATCATACTTACAAAGTGGAATTGTTGTACTAATGATGATGATTACTAGCAGGACACTGGAAGAAAACAATCAAAGCATGAGAATCATGTTGATGACACTTAACAGGCTGATTTTAAGTATGGCACAGTCAAAGAAATTGAAAATTTTAATATAAATTGTACATTTATATGCTTTTTCCGGCTCAGATACACACGGTAATCTTAATCCCTGCAAATAATACAATGCCCAGCAAAAACAACTTATAACTTAAAAGGTAAATAATTTTGTCTAGTGATGTTTAATTGCAAATTTGACGTCTCTACTGACAAAGTCGTCTTCTGTTGTTTGTTCACGCGAAGTGATACGATGTTGTTTTCTTACCCCTGGAAAAAAGTTTGACGAAAGCGTAACCCATGGATAAGACGACCCCCTTCTACAGACTGCTTTTTTTGGTCCTCAAAATTCGGCTTATAGACGGTCATATACGGTACTTATCCTATCTCATGATTTGCATTTCTCTTTCTTGCTTCGACGCTGAGTGGAACGAATGAGAACTTTTCCTGTAGGCCTCTCTTGTCCATACGGCCGTGTTCCCCAGGCTGCTCTCCTTATAGGACAGGTCCCTAGTCCATGGCTAAGCATGCAGCATGTTCCCCTGTCTACCCACGTAACTACCTCAGAGTGATCATTGTCTTCTTGGAGCCAATGAGTTATACGTAACCGTCGTAATCTGAGTAGAGGGGAGGCTGGGTGGTCATCCATCTCGTGAGATAGGATAAGTAATTAAAATTTTCAAATTTTTAAACTTATCCTATCTCACGGTTGGAGGGTGTGTGTGTGTGTGTATCCACAGATTACCCCAAGTCAAAAGTTGGAGGTATAGTGTGTGTGTGTGTCTGTGTACCTGTGGGGGGTTCTCCTGATTACCCCAAGTCAAAAGGCACTGACAGTATAGGATCAAACTGTATAGACTAATGACAACCCCTTGTAGATAGCAATGAACCCAAGGAGGCGGATCTGACTAGCATAGTACCTCTACTAGTGATGGGTTCTCCTGAACCCCTTGGCTTACTAGGCATCATTGCTCCCAAGGAGAGGGTGCTCCTGAGCAATGTGGTGTTCAGCTGCAGGATCCGACTAGCATAGTACCTATACTAGTGATGTAGTGATGGGTTCTCCTGAACCCCTTGGCTTACTAGGCATCATTGCTCCTAAGGAGAGGGTGCTCCTGGAGAGTCGTCCCGGATGTATGGGCACAGAAACATCTGAAGAGGGCAGCTGGCCCCTGTAAGTCAGCGCTTGTGCCGACGTCAACCACCCTAGTAACTTCTGCCACTGGCGAAAAGTTGTGGGTTGGACCAGCACTAGTGGTGCGTTGCACTGGATCTTGTCCCACCTCTCCTGGGGCACAAACATCATGACCTGTAGTGTTGAATATTGTCCCTATAAAAAACCCCAAAACGGGTTGGTGTTACCTCCGATTTCTCTGAATTCAGCAGCCATCCTAATTGCGCGAGCAACTTGATGATGAACTGCCTGTGGAGAGGAAGGATGACTGAATCCTGCTGGGCTTGAACACAGTCTTTGATATAGTTCTCGATTGTCATGCCTCGACAATGCAGGTAGCTTGTTATCAGATTGGGTATCTGAGTAAAAAGCCACAGGGCCGTACATATGCCAAACAGCAGGACCCTCCATTGGTATCAATGATACCCCTTGAAAGTAAATCGAAGATACTTCCGATAGTCTGGATGTATCGGGATGTGAAGGTAGGCGTCTCGCAGGTCGAGGGAAATGAGAGGTCTAACAACTCTTGCCTCTGACAAAGAGATATCTTCCTGAGATAAGAACGTTTAATAAGTCGAGCTACTATGTCAGTTCTAACGGAGTGCTGAATATAGTATGTTCGGCGCATGACGATTTTCAGTCAATTTACAGGAACGTTCACTTTGTAAACAAATCGAAGAAATTCGTATGATCAGCAAACCTCAGGAACGTTTCGGTTGGACGAACAAAATGATGGTTAGCCAGGTGGAGTGAGAAAGGTAGTAGATCGCTGCCTGGTAACAGTCCACACATAACTGCAGTGACCTCTGAACTCAGTGCTTGAGCTAGTGTAGAAAACCGAGTAACCCCAGCAAAAAGTCAAACCGTTCACGGGTGTTTCTGTCTGTCACCTCCGATAAGCAGTCTCTCTCGACTGGCTGTCGAAATCCTGACACAAACACTCTTACCGGGAATGGCACCGTTCATTGTTACTAGCATTTAAAGGCTGGACTTGATATCCGATTCGTTGGACCAAGACAAGTCTACAAGGGCACTTCATAGTCACTCTAATCATCAAATTTCCGGTAAACAAACAGTAGTCCGCCATTTGCAAACGTTACACACGAGTGACAAAAAACCCATACATTCCGGGCTGAGCTATGCTGGCTATTTGACAAAACATCACTGCTGGTACCATGCGCAAAAAACTTGACCCATCTGTTATCTGTCCAGAAACTTGCTTATCATGTAAAACAAAGGGAGCTGAAGATGACGAACCATCTGCAATAATTGCACCCAGCGATACACAAACACGCTGTTACGAGTAGTCTGTAGTAACAAGACTCAGTGAAGCGTCGTAAAGTATTCCTGGCTAGCAAGCTTATCTAGTAATGACCTACCGGGTGGTTGTAGAACTGATATCTACACCGAAGGGTAGATTCGTTGAACCGAATCATTCAACAAAGGTGAAGATCGGATGGTAGATTAAATCTGGAATGAGATGAGCCCCGGTCACAGAGGACTCTTGAGAACTGGGATTGTCAGACCGTCAAGTGCCGAGAGTGATATGTCCAGATGACTGCGCTACTGACATCACATGTAAATTGATGCCCTGAAAACTAGGATCATGTTGAAAACTAGCAGAGTTCGACAAATTTGGCCCTATCTAGATGCAAGTTCACGAACCTCGTTGAGGATGTGGAAAACCAGTGTTGACAAGTCCCGATCCTTCATGTTGAATGTAATCAATAGAACATCTAGTATATTGCTCTAGGTAGCAGTAGGTGGTCGGCGAACCATGTGATCATGTATGTCGAATCAACCAAAACCATTCCTGCATCTTATAGGCGACTGGCATAGCCCAAACCATGAAAACAAAGATGAGGCTCGATGTGGGTTAAGTGTCTTGGGAGGCATCCCAGACACAATTGGCATAGGTTCTGATAGGCTGGTAAGATGTGCCGTGTTGGAGGTGAGGTGAAATTGGGTTTTACGTCGTGCTTGAGAATATTTCGCTCATATGACGACGTGCATGCGTGTGTATGTGTATGTGCGGCTGCTTGTACTAGCCCAGACTTAAGTTGGTTTTATAGTGCTAGCCCACTGAGATACCATGCCGCAGTGAAGCATGAATACCCCACTCAGACACATTATACTGACTCCGAGCCGACCAGTCCTTATTGTACCCATTAATGCCGAGCGCCAGGCAGGGACCAACAAGTACCATATTTTAACGTCTTTTGGTATGACGCGGTCGGGGATCGAACCCGCGACCTTCCGCTCTCCGGGCGGACGCTCTAACCACTACACCACGGAGGCGGTCACGCCGTGTTGGAAATAACACGAGTGGTGAATCGCCAAATGCTAGCAAGGTCCGAGGAACGGATTATTGACAAATGCTGACAGTTCGATGAGTGCTGACAATTCAGTGATCTTGAACGGCCAGGTGAACTGGTTCGGTGATAGGAAGTGGTTCGGCCTGGTGAAACGGTACAAGTCGGGCTGGTAAACGGGTCAGGGTGGTGAGCCGGAACGTTGATGTGATCTGAATTAGTCCGTGATTTGGATCGGCGTTGTGATCTGGATCGTGACTGTGATCTGGATCGGTTCGGTAATCTGAAACGTTTAAATGATCTCAGCTGATCAGATCAGATGAACCGGTGAGGCGAGGTGAAATGTTCCGGCCGAGGTGAATCGTTTCGGTGAAGAGAGCCGTTACGGTGAGGCGAGGCGTTTCGGTGCTGGGAATTGAATCGATGATGTGAACCATTTCGGTCTTAATATTATGGCAAATTGAGTCGATGACGTAATCCACATACGCTGTGGCGAAACGGTTCGGTCTGGTGAATCCATTCGGTATGGTGAACCGATTTGGCGATTTGACGATGTAGATCGGCTGTGTGAGTAAGCTGGCAACACAGAGCTGTTTGATGAGGAGGAACGACGAGTAGACATCTGATGATGCGCCAATGTGATGATGGGATGATGCCAATGTGATGATGCGCCACATGGGAATCTCCGGACGACGAGCAGTTACTACTGGTCGTTGAAAGCGGGGGTTTGCCGGGTGATCAACTGTTGAAGTGTAACGAGCTCTGTCTGCCAGCCAATGGGAGCAAGCATGTCTATATGCTCTAAAAACGTCCTTGAAAAGGGAGAACATTCCCGACAACGTTTGCTCCAGGAACACAGGTCAATACAGCCCACACATGACGAGTGGGGATCCGAGGAAGTAAATATTGTTACAGTGTGCACAAAATTACGCTACTTAGGGTCAACAACCCATGATATATTTCTCATGTTAACTTGTAAGGAAAGCTGAGAACTCTCACAATACATCCACACAGTGGTGCGACAAGAAGAAGAATGATCACTCTGAGGTAGTTACGTGGGTAGACAGGGGAACATGCTGCATGCTTAGCCGTGGACTAGGGACCTGTCCTATAAGGAGAGCAGCCTGGGGAACACAGGCGTATGGACAAGAGAGGCCTACAGGAAAAGTTCTCATTCGTTCCACTCAGCGTCGAAGCAATAGAGAGAAGTGCAAATCGTGAGATGGGATAAGTTTAAAAATTAAAAGTTTTTAAGGTTTCTTGTGATATTCAGAGGTACTTCTCAAACCACCATTTCACTTCCATACATTACTGCATGCCCTTATAAATGGCTAATTTGATTTGAACTGTACAGTCCCCTTCAATCACTTAGAAACTTAGCATTTGTTACAAAGAATCAAATGTAATTTTTTACATAATATCAGCTGTAATTTGTTTCAGGGGATCAGATGTACTTGTTTACAGAATATCATCTATAATTTGTTACAGAATATCAGCTGTAATTTGTTACAGAGAATCACCGGTGAGGAAGTGAGTCAACAGTAATAAATAATGCAATGCTGTATCAAGAAATGAGTATGTCAGTATTGCACAGCGATGAGCAGCATTTAAGTCACATTACAACATGTTAGCTAATGAGAAAGGAAAGACCAATGTTATGCAGGTCTTAGATGCTAACGACTTTGGTGAAATTAATGAACACGGGCAATATGCTGACAAGCCAAGGAACATAATCAGGGTCATTCTCTTCCCACAGAAGTTACTTGTCATATCTTCCTACGAACCTCTGTTCTAATACGGCCCTTTCACGGTGTGAGTGTTCAACATTCGTGATTGGTTGCAATCAGATTTGGTTGTGCAGTCAGTGACGTTGTTTCAAAAGTGATCATTTGCAAGGCCTCAGTCATTTCTGTATGCTTCGGGAAAACTAGAACCTCTTCCCCTGAGTGATGCAGAATGGTTAATCAATGGCGTCTCCATCGCCCTCGTTGACAGCGGACAGGGTAGCGATTATATATATAATTTATATATCTTGTGTGTCACATCAATACAAGTCCCCGGCAGAGGAAGGATATTTGTGGCCACACCTTAGAATTTGGATCTAAGTCGATGCAATACGTGTTCTGATTGGATAAAAAAAGGGAGATAAGTTGTGTTGCGATTTTATGCCACTAGGGGATTTTCCGAGAACCGGGAAATATGTCCGTATTAGAACAGAGGTTCGTATGATGATATGACAAATAACCTCTGTGGGAAGAGAATGAATCAGGGTGGACTGAAATTCAAATCTTTGATTATAGGTAGGGGGAACACAACAAGGGACACGACAAGGGACACAACTCTGCACATCAAACTGTGACCTGACAACAGGGCCACCAATGTGCCAGACAGTGAATATGGTGCCTACCTCATAACTGGATCCACATAATACTTCCAGTCTCCCTCCACAAACCAGATGACGAGGGCACTGATGATGACAATGACAGACCCTAGGGCGTCTCCCAGCACGTGGAGGAACACCCCTCTCATGTTCAGCTGGGATTGGGAAACTGGGCAAATCATCAATACATCTCTCATTATGAGGTGAGGTGAGGTGAGGTGGGGTGAGGTGAAGTGAAATTGGGTTTAACGTCGTGCTTGAGAATATTTCGCTCATATGACGACGTGCATGCGTGTGTATGTGTATGTGCGGCTGCTTGTACTAGCCCAGACTGAAGCTGGTTTTATAGTGCTAGCCCACTGAGATACCAAGCCGCAGTGAAGCATGAATACCCCACTCAGACACATTATACTGACTCCGAGCCGACCAGTCCTTGTTGTACCCAATAATGCCGAGCGCCAGGCAGGGACCAACAAGTACCATATTTTAACGTCTTTTGGTATGACGTGGCCTGGGATCGAACCCGCGACCTTCCGCTCTCTGGGCGGACGCTCTAACCACTACACCACGGAGGCGGTCTCTCATTATGAAACTCCCTTTAAAAAAGATCCAAATGTTTTCTAGCCTTTACAGGGGTATTACAAACATACCTGTTAATTGCACATTTTTTTATGACAAGCATAAACCTTGTGAATGACAACAAACATATCAGAATTAAAACATAAATGAAAATTTAAGAGATGGCATTCTGTGTACAGGTGTATGAGTTTCTTTGAATGTCAACATATTGGAAGTGAGTGAGTATGGTTTGATGCCGCTTTCAGCAATATTTTAGCAATATTATGGCAGGGTGACACCAGAAATGAGCTTCACACATTGTACCCATGTGGGGAATCCAACCCGGGTCTTCGGCATGACAAGCGAACAGTTTGACCACTAGACTTCCCCACTGTCCTCCGCATACTGGAAGCAGCATTTATGAAAGCATTGAACATGTTAAATATCAAAATGTGTTCAGCATTATATCTCTATATGAGATAGCTTTAATGAGTCGATTGTGAGGGTTTGTTGGTGAGTGAGTGGATGGGTGGATGGAAGTGAGTGAGTGAGTGAGTGAGTGAGTGTGTGGAGTGAGTGAGTGAGTGAGTGAGTGAGTGAGTGAGTGAGTGAGTGAGTGAGTGAGTGAGCGAGCGAGCGACAAGGCAAAAGGTCGTCTTTTACATACGGCACTTACAGATCAGGAACTATCATTATCATCCAGTTTATTATATCCTCCTGTTATGGGTTTTAGGACTCTTAAAGATCATCCCTTGTTGTCGCATGAACAATTGTAAAACATGACACTTACATATAAAGGATAACTTCATTCAAAACACAAGCCAAGATTCAAGAATTTACAAAATCTGTGAGAAGCAACACTGCTCGTAACAGCACGAGTAAGCACTACTGTCCAAAAACGTATGATGTCCCAAAACCTATGATATGACGATACTTCCATTTCCCATGTGATAAATACTTTGTATATCTTCATGAAATCATAATGAAATGGATAAAACAAACTACTTCTTAATTGAGGACAACACCAAAGTGATTCTATTTGTCTGCCCAAGTGAAGTGAATCAAGGGACGTAACTCTGCACGGGTTTGACTACAAGGGTGTATATAGATTAATACAACGTATATACTCACCAACTTTGGGTTTGCTGCTTTCTATCTCTATCTGTACATCCATATCACCTTCCCCATCCTGAGTGTTGAGGCCATTGATGATATTTTGCTTTGTAACAAGTTTCTCATTCTCGGTACTTGGTTCGTCGTGACTGTCATGACCGTGGTGAGTGTGACCCCCTCCACCATGATTGTGACTGCCTCCTCCGTGGGAGTGACCTGAGGAAAATAATCAAGTCACTTTTACCCCTGATGTTTATATCATTGGACTGTAACATGATTGAGAAGATTTGATTTAATATTAGTCAAAATAATTCTGCCTTTGCTATAAGTTAACGATATCCCACTTATACCTGAAACTCATACACATAAATATCATTGAAGTGTTAGAAACATCTCAGTGAAATGACCGTCATAAGTGATTATTATTATCCGTTATTATATCAGAGTTATGATCGCCCTGGAGCTGAGATTGCTTTGTGGTAACTAATATTCAGAAATATATTCAGAGTTTGTTTTTAATAGTATTTTATACAGGGATTTACCTCGACTCCTGTATTTAAGGGTCCCTTGGACACATATTCTTAATTTTCAGGGTTCCTGGACTACAAAATGGGGGTCCCAGACACTTAAATATTATTATTAATACTGTGTTGTGTATCATGATCATCACATTGTTACAGTAATTAAATTGCAAATGATACCATAACCCAATTAGTTGCAAACTCAGTGATAACTTATTTTCACTTGATTGGAAATTTTACAAAAAATATTTGGACTTTTTCTGCATCCCTTGGATGCACTAATAAATTTCGTTGCGTCCATTGTCAATTTTTATGTGTATAGGACACAGGAATTCGGGTCCTGTAAATCCCTGTTTAATATTTGATATTTTATGGTTACAAGTGAGAGAGTTGGGTTTTACGCCGCCTTAAGCAATATTTCAGCAATATCAAGCGGGGGACACCAGAGATGGGCTTCACACATTGTACCCATGTGGGGAATCAAACCCGGGTCTTCAACATGACGAGCCGATGCCTTAACCACTAGTCTACCCCACTGCCCCTTATGGTTACAAAATAAACCTAACTTAAAACTAACAGAGTTTCCTTTACTCAAATAGGCTGAAATGGTAAATATGAAACTGGCCTTTAGATATTTTATCACCTTTGAAGAAAGATACTGTAAACATACTTATTTTCGTGTGGTGCAATTTTCGCGGAATTGACAGTTTAGACTACATCGCGCGGTCAATTATTCGCGCAATCAGTAATTGCCGGAACTGCCAGCTGTCTCTTTGGCCGCCACTAATAGCAGTGAAAACAAACAGAGTGGCTTAACCTGTCAGGCGGCGTTTATTGCATACTCACAGGAACTCCCTATCTGTGCGATATACTAGTACACAGTAATCCGAATTCTGACCTGAATTAACTTCTACTGTATATGAAGCTCTTTGTGATTTCAAACAAGCCGGGTTGTTGTGAATGAGATGATTGAGTGTTAAGTGACTATTCGCTTCATGATGTACTGGTAAATAAAATCTTAATGAATAAATAAAATACTGCTGTATTATTTCTTTCCGAGTCATTTCATGGTAATCTGTTTTGTATCAAACCATCTGTCATGTGACCAATTTCCATGGTGGCCACAACACACATTGCTGTTTTTGCTAATTTGGGGATGGGATTTGGCTCATTATTTAATTATGTTTTGGGAAATACATTACAGCTACAGTTAAGTATGATTCTTTATGCTACTATCAGTCGTCATTTTAAGATTCCTATAGATTTCTGTCTTCAAACTTGATGTGTTATGGTAACAACTCAGGGGCGAGCGTGGCTAGACTGTATAAATTTTCGCGCTAAAATGTTTTGCGCAAAAAGCGAGAAAATAAAACCTCTCGAAATATAATACTTTTACAGTATGCAAGGTTGCTTTTTGTGTTATTTTCTTACCATGTTGATGAAATAAAGCCAGACCAATGAGGTTCACCACGAGACCACACACCCCAACAATCAGCATCAGCTTGGGGTCATCGATCTCCTCAACCTGGACCAATCGTTTGAGGGATTCCACCAGGATAGAGAAACACAGCGCAAGGAGAAACACAGAATTGACAAGGGCCCCCAGAACTTCAGCGCGGATCCAGCCAAAGGTATTCTTCTCACTCGGCCAACGTGCAATCTGAATTCAGAAAAGATATGACAAGGGATACTGAAAATTTCATCTTTTTGATGCACTAATCATCTTGATGGGGAAATCTTTGAAATGGCATTTAGAAGTGATACACTTAAAGAAGAGAGATTTTATGGATGTCAACTACTTTATTATGAAGAAATACAACATTTAGGAGTATATGAGGAAGTTGATGAGGAAATGAGGAAGTTGATAAGGAAGTGTTTCCATTTTCATATTTGTATCGGATAGTGAAGGAATATATGGCTTGGGCCAGCAAACTGAAGGGAATGTGAAGGTGACTTACCCTAACACAGGAAAATCCCACGATTAATGCCACAACATCAGACAACATGTGAAAGGAGTCTGCCACAAGGGCGATGGAGTTGGTGATGTAGCCTACGATGATCTCCACCAGGAAGAATGCTCCAGTGAGACCCAGCATGGTCAACAAGCGACATGTTTTACCAGAGTAGCGACCCATGTCTTTTCTCTGAAACTAACCATTGACAAGAAATCAGGAACCATGCTTCTCGTGCAGTCAGGCATTCAGTCAGTTTACATTAGCCTAACCTATTTAAATCTCCTTCTTCAGTTACATGGTTTAAGTGAGTGAGTGAATGATTGAGTGAGTTCAGTTTTACCCCACATTCAGGAAATATTCCAGGTAAATGGCTGCGGTCTGCAACCTCCTTCTTCAGTTACAAGGTTTAAGTGAGTGAGTGAGCTCAGTTTTATGCCACACTTAGGAAATGTTCCAAGTATATGGCTTTAATCTGTAAATAATTGAGTCTGGACCAGTGATCAACAGCATGAATATTGATCTACGCAATTGGGATACGATGACATGTGTTAACCAAGTCAGAGAGCCTGACCACCCGATCCCGGTAGTCGCCTCTCTCGAGAAACGTGTTACTGAAGTTCAATTCTAACCCGGATCTTCACGGGTCTACATGGTTTAAGAAAGAATCCTACTTTTTACTAAATATGACTAGTTTGGTCCTTTGCAAGGTTGTTGTTACTGGTTTGTTGTTCAACCAAGCACTAAGCAATATTCTAGCCTGTAAATAATGAAGTCTGGGCCATACAATCCTATGATAAGCAACAATCCACGCAATTGGAATACGATGACATGTGTCAACCAAGTCAGCGAGCCTGACCACCTGATCCTGTTAGCCACCTCTTACAACAAATATGGGTCGCTGAAGACCAATTCTAAACTGGGTCTTCACAATTCTCCTTAGCAAAGCTAGTACAATGAATCAACTATAAGGCATGACAAGGTGAATGTGACGATAAGGGGTGGGTATTGCAAGGAATTTTCATATTGCGATAAATTGCGATGCGAAAGCATGTATTGTGATATGTATTGCAATTTATTGCAAGAAGTTTTCTTTAACAAAAATATGTATAATCGAGTTAATGCTTGATTTATAAAGCAAAAACGCAACACAAAAACAATACTTGATTAGGCGTTAATAAAAACAAAATCATGACAAAATAAAAATGTAAATAATGATTGGCACAAATGAAACAAGGAAAGGAACAATTTAAAAAACGGAAATATCCTGAAGATTTCCGAGCGTTACGAAGTTTTTCGAATGCATGTCAAAATACCGGTTTTCAATCAGCGTATCGCAATACGTATCGTTTTCATGTCTGAACCGGTAAATACTGGTAAACTGGTTATATTGCGCAGCCCTAGTGACGATATCCCAAATATTGGGTGACAAATATGACTATTGGGTAATGAATACAATAAAAAGTCAGATGATCATTCTAATGGTCAATATATCTTGTGAAACAATGTGAAAAAGTTACTTGACATGTTTCAACCATGTTGACAGTGATAATTTATCACAGCAATGAACAGTGACCACACTGCTGTCAAACTGAATATACTTAAATGCTGGCTATTATCCTACCTGGCTTGCATATCTCATTTTGATATAAAAAATAACAACCAAATTCAAGTAAAACACTCCGTTATAAAAATGATTGTGAATATCCAAGTCTAGTGATCATCGAATACACATGTGAATTGTAACAGCCCAAGACCTCAGGAAACCTTGTGTTGTTATGGTCACCTTATATATATATAACACAGCTGTTCAATTTCCATAGCTCTTATGTAGGAATGCAAGTACACTCAGCCCTCATTAATTCTCTTTGACATGTTTTTCAGATGAGTGAATATTCATTATCTGTCATAACTATATCCAAATATATATAAATGTACTTCATCACTTGCATGATTTCACTAATAGTCCTATACAATGTTGGCAAAGTGAAAACAAACAAAAATATTAGTTTTATGTATGAACAAACAGAATGACAGAAAACTGTGAACTGTTTTATGCATCCAGCCTGTCTGATGCTGATAAGAAGATTCCTTTATAATATATTTTTACCACTTGCAACTAAATAAACAAAACCTACTTCTGTAGGTTAAAGATTTAATAAAGAGACTAATCTGAAAATGACCTCCAGCATGTTCCAGGTACTTTTGATGAACATTTATGTACAATTTAAAGCCTGATGGAATTTATTGACAAAATCTGTCTGAGTTTGTGTGTTGATCATATCGGACATTAAACATGCCAAATTGGGTCAATGATTTCCTTTTCCCATTTGTTCAAAGGTATGCAACATAGTTCTGGGTGTTTTCTTTCCTGCTTGTGCACCAAGGTTTGACCTCACAAATATGTATTTTGTCTAGTTTATTGTTTTTTTAGTTTTTGCAGACAATACCAATGGCCATACATGAAATCAGTGTTGAGTACGGCATGACATACAGTGAGTGAGTGAATCAGTATGGTTTTACGCCGCTTTTAGCAACATTACAGCAACATCACAGCAGGGGGACACCAGAAATGGGCTTCACACTTTGTACCCATGTGGGGAATCAAACCCTGGTTTTTGCCATGATGAGCAAACAGTTTGACCACACCACAATCAACAGCATGAACATTGATCTACGCAACTGGGATACGATGACATGTGCCAAGCAAGTCTGCGAGCCTGACTGTCCGATCTTGTTGGTCGCCCCTTACGACAAGTATGAAGACCAATTCTAACCCGGATCTTTACGGGTAACTTCACACATTGTACCCATGTGGGGAATCGAACCCAGGCCTTTGGCATGATGAGTGAACACTTTAACCACTAGGCTACTCCACTGCCCCTTGCATGAAATACAGCTGAACCTCGCTTATCCAGACGCATGCAGCCTTTAAAAAATTGTCGGGATAAACAAACCGTCAGATATCTAAATCAGTAAATGTCTTGTCAGTTACCCCCTACCCAATTTATCATCAACAACAAAAACCAGGAAAATTACATAATGCATAAGATCGGGCATGATGCATAGTAATACAATTACAGTGTAGCCCGTCGGCTTCAGCAAATTTAGGTGAATGAAAGAGTGATACTTTAAAAATCTGAAATCTGAGATAAAACATCAGTAATTGCAGTTATAAATTTTATTTTCTGTCCTTCTTGGCATTGATTTATATGCAAGGAATAAGACTACTGTGAACATTTTCTTGTAAGAAAGCAGGAATTAGCACAGAAGAAATAATGAACACACGCAGACAAAGTCATCAATATCCCCCGCAATGGCAAAATACTCTTCATGATTATGTCTACGAGTTATGATTATGTCAAATATTTAGGTGTGTATATAGAAAAGTGGAAGGAGAGTATTGAAAGGTTTTTAGAGTTCTGCTCCGGAAAAGTGCACTACCACTAATTTCTGTTTTAGTCAAACTTGTTGCCATGGAAATGTCATAACAAAATTATTCAGACTTCCAAAACTACCAAAACGGAACCAGTACACCACCAGACCAATCTATGTGCCAAGTTTTGTGAAGAAACATTGAACGGTTTTAGAGTTCAGCTCCGGAAAAGAGCACAACCACCAATATCAGGCTAAGTCAAACTTGTTGACATGGAAATGCCAAAAATATTTTATTCAGAATTCCAAAACTACCAAAAGGCACCAGTACACCACCAGATCAATCTATGTGCCAAGTTTGGTAAAGAAATAGTCAACGGTTTTAGAGTTCAGCTCCGGAAAAGTGTACTATAGTTTGGCATAGAATGCATGTGGACCCGTTTTTTTGTAAATATCTCTTCATCCAATGACCCAATCGATCTCAAACTGTGCAAGTGGATGTTTTGTCAGACAACCTAATCCCATTGTAAATCACTGATTTTATGCATTTGTATTAAAGAATCTGTCTATGTAACTGTCAACAAAATAAACAGCAGAACGCAGACGGCTTGCAGAGGGAGGGAGCCAATGACCTGTAACAGCGGCAGTCTTGGGTCATAAAAAACCCCGGGTCCACATGCATTTCATGCCAAACTATACCACCAATTTCAGGCTAAGTCAAACTTTTTGCCATGGAAAGGCCAAAAATGTTTTATTCAGAATTCCAAAACTACCAAAAGGCACCAGTACACCACCAGATCTATCTATGTGCCAAGTTTGGTGAAGAAATATTGCACGGTTTTAGAGTTCTGTTCCGGAAAAGACAAATGTGCACGGACGGAAGGATGCACGCACGGAGTCCATTTTAATACCCCCTGCAAAACAGCGTTGCAGGGGATAAAAATAACACACAGAATTTTGATTGAATGGTCAGAATAAATTGTATCAGACACCATTGTTATATCAGGAATAATGCGTTCCAATATTGGAATATTTTACTATAGACCCTTGAAATAATAATGATCATCAATAACATAAAAATATAAATGTAACCCTTAACATAGACAAAACTTAATGAGATTTTTAATTAAACTATCTATTGTTTACTAACATAAGCAGAGGTATATGATGGGTATTTTTATATAAACTATTCGTAGTGATCAGCTGATAATCTGATGAAATTCACAACCCAAGCACATGATATCCTTCCCTTGGATGTATAATCCGGGATGATGAATTGCAAAATAAATATCGTGAAGCTTGGTACTTGTCCGGTAAGTCGGACACAATACTGGGTATTCTGCACTGCCTGATTTGTCTGGATACAGAAACTGGATTTCCAGTAAATGGGTCATTTTGTGTTGTATGTATTAAGCAAATATCATCTGGCCGGCGAGGTTTCCTGACATCTGGGGTTTAGATAAGTAGGGCTGTGTTATTGGCAAATAAATTGTATTGCAATATGCTGCAATTCAGGTATTAGTGTTGCGGTACGTATTGCGATATATTGGTTTGACAGTAAGTGACACTAATAGTATATGTCGATCCTATTTTCTACATCGAAGTCCCTAATATTATATGCTACGGTTCTTATTACAGTTATCGCAAAATTAGGTTTAACGCATTACAGTATGCCATCTTGTCATTGAATAATGAATGAAAACATCTGTTGTGAATGAACAACTTCATAAATGTTCTTTACCCAATATACCGGTTCTCATATTACAATACGGTAGTATTGTTTGAAAAGCGCATTGTATACCGGTAATACCATGCAGTCTTAC